CCATCACCTCGGACTGGTGCACATAAAAACCCTTGGTCCACCATCATTTCTCTCTGGCGCAGGCAACAAAGCCTTGATCTGGAGGCTCTGGAGCCCACTCAACCCACGATCCTAAGGGACCTTGGCTGAGTGGACACCAGCACATGATCCCACCTGGGAGCTCTTCTCATCCTGTGCATGGGAACACCAGGAGCAGGAAAAGGCTGGAGGAGTGGTTTCCATGGGAGGGAGGGTTTGGTCACTGATACAGTGGATTTCAATGTCCTTTCCCAGGTTTCTGACCATCAGTAGATGACAGTGGTCGGTGTGCATCCCTTAAGGAGACGGTGTGCCTCGTGCAGGCTGGAGGGACTAATCTGAGGTCTCGGCTGAGCTGAGCCTGAGAGCCTGGCTTTGTGTGTGAGAGCATCCTCACGGTGGCACTGCTCCACCAGCACACGCTGCCGTCAGGCCGATTGCTGGGACCGCTGGGATGAGGGTCTGGGCTCCCAGAGGTGTCGCGGCCAGCAGGACCAGCCCCCATCCCCCTCCCGAACAGTCTGTGAGTGAAACAGAGCTAGAAATCCATCCCTTCGGCAGTGATTCCTGCAGGGAGCAGTAAATGAAGGGGAAATGGAATCTTATGATATTTAATCTCTTCCCTGTTTTCTGCTGACATTCCTGTTTGCTTTTCATCTTACCCCCGTGGAGTTTGCATCTCAGTCCCCCAGGTGAATCAGGTTGTCCTACAGACTCCAGAAATTACTGTCTTCCCACAGAAATGCCTGTCCTTGCTTTTTTTTCCTCACAGGATGACAAAGAGCAGAGACAATAGAGGCCTCTGGCTTCCAGCTTCCTTTTGCGGTTGGGATGTGGCTCTTTCAGCTTCATCTTGCCACTCAAAAAATTACCTCTTGTTCTCAATAAATCCAACTAGAATTACTTTTCACGTGTCTCCTGGTCACTACTCCTGGGAATACTCAAGAGGGACATGTTCAGAGGTCCTGCATGGTCCTTGGTGGGCACAGGCTCTTCTGGCCATCACCACTAACTGCTGTCTGCATGTTTCAGGGACAACCTCCTCTGGATACCTGTCTGCGGCAGGCCTGTCGTGCAGCAATGACACCTGGTCCCTGTCTGGCCACCCGGCACGGCACAGGGGGGCCGGACATCGCGGTGCTGCCCCTTTCCTTGATGCCAGCCACGCTCCTCCTCCTCTTTCTCCTTCTCAGCCCCACCGGTGAGCTCCGCGTTGGGCGGTGGGAGGGGTTTTAGTCACCCGCGATCTCCCTCCGTCTCTCAGATTTGTGGGCAGATTTTCTCCACGGGTAGGATTGGCATGGTGTCCCCAACAGCACTGAGGGTGCACAGGGATGGAGGGAGCAGGTCCAGCACCGATGGGAAGATGCTGATGGCCAAAGGATGCTCCTGGGGTTGCTCTCCAGGACCTGTGGGACTGATCCTGCCGAAGCGACGGGTGGAATACGCACCCATTCCCTCAGGACAATGGTCCCTACTCACTCCTGGCAGGCACTGTCCAGTCAGGCTGGGAAGCATTTTAATCGAACTGGGAAAAGCCATTCCCGCTTTGAAACGAGGGTCTGCACAAGTGCTGAGGCAGCATAGTTATCCCGGTGTGACTGGATCCGTGTGATTACAGCCAGGCGGTGGGTAACACATTCCCGCCTCAACAAACCCGTGCCAAGGCACAGCCAGCCAGAAAGCTGGGAATTCAGATGTAGTCAGACACCCTAATTGAGTTAAATCAGGTTTTGCCTTCCCACTCCCTCAGCTGGAGCTTCCTGTCCCCTCCCGAGCTGCTGTGGCAGCCCCGGCGACCACACTCGACGTGTGGGGACCCTGAGGGGACTCCGGTGGCTCTGCCACTGTCCCCTGCACCGCCAGGCTCTCCCGGTTCTCCCGGTTCTCTTCACTGATGGGCAGAGATTAGTGGCTAACGAAGGGCGATTTGTCCTCCCATTTGGTGGTTTTGTTTAGCACCGGTGTTTACTCGAGCAATTTCCCTTTTTCTTTTGGCTTTGTGAAGCTGGATCAGAGAAACACCGAGGGCCCTCTCTCTCTGTTCTCAAAGGATACCGTTTTCCCCTCGTTCCTCATTATGGTAGACACACCAGGCATATTTTTTTCAGATCTCTCCTGACTTTGCTGGAGGATGCTCTTAAATGAATATTTCAGAGCTTTGATTTTGACTTAAAGGGAAATGAATATTTATCAATGTCTTTTTATCCACTGCTTCTTCGGCACTGGAGTGGACTAGGTGTTAAAAATCAATACAAACCAGGATGAAATGCTCTTCCTAGAAACGCTCACATCTCCACATTTTTGGTGCAGAGGTGAGCTGAGTAACCTCTCTCTCCTGTTTTCCAGCCCACAGGGCTGCCATGTCCTTCCCTGTTCTCTCCTTTAGAGCCTCTCTACTCCCTTGGTCTCACCTGTGTAACCCCCACTTCTTGCTGGCATCGCAGCATCCCTTTCCAGCCTGCCTGGTCCAGCTGGGGAGGGCAGGAATGCCCGAGCAGGGCTGGAGCTCCCTGGCTGCTGATGTTCATCCCAGCTACAGGCAGCATCCCTGCTAACTCGTGGATACATCTAGACAGTTGCCTTATTCTCGTTTCTCTTGGGGCTTCTAGGTCTTTCTTTGACAGCCCTGTTTTCTAGCTGACTTAATGGTCTCCAAGGCAACGTCCTAGCAAGGAAAAGGGAGGTGGGTTCATCTGCTCAACTGTCCCCCCAGGCTCATGCTGCTTCTCACGGTGGTGACATCCGCCTCCAGAGTGGCTGGGATTGACCTTCACGTCATTGCTCGTGGGCTGAGCGTGAAGCAGGACAGGGCTGGTCCAAGGCATGGTGAGGAAAAGAGGCCACGGAGCCACCACGGGCATTGATGAGCCCTTGGGTGCCGTAATTAGCATGGAGGCATCACAGAATCACGGGGTGGTTCGGCTTGGAAGAAATCTTAAAGCTCCTCTCGTTCCTAACCGCCTGCCATGGGCAGGGACACCTTCCACTAGGTTTGGAAGGGTTTTGGAAGGTGTCACCCATTGGAGAGGGCTGTGCAGCCACAGCCTCAAGCCTGAGGTGACTCAGATGCCCGAGGAATCTGTGCTGGGCTCTGGCATCTGCCAAGAGCTTGTGAACTCCCAGGGTACCCACAGGGGCAGTGAGAGGGATTTCCACAAGGTCCAGCCACTCGTTCCCATCCACTGTCCCCTGGATCAGGCTCCTGTGACCTCCTGGACAAGTCAGAGCCCTCAGTGTCCCATGCTGGGAGCATCCCAGGGGAGACCCCACATCACTCAGCACTGGGGCTGAGAGAGTTTTTGTGCCCAAATAAATGCCCAAATTGTGGGGGGGGGGCCCCAGCCCAGTGGGAGGAGCAGGCTGCCAGGAGGAGCTTCAGCTTTCCCTTGGCCCCTCCCTGAGCATCCAGACCCTGGGTGTTCAGGGCACTTCCAGAGCCCTCATTCAAACCCAGCTGGCTGGAATGGGAATGCATCCTGCAAGCGTTAAATTCCCTCTGGAGGCTGCTTGTTCACCCTCTAAGGTGGATGCACCCCATCAACGGGTGTGTTGGTAGTTGCATGTAATTATGGAGCTTGCAAAAAGCAGACTTTGTTGGGGAAAAAAATCAATCCAAATGCACATAGGGCACAGCATCTTCCATCAGGAGATCTCCAGTGGGTTTCTCAAGCCAGACAGGATGGGTTTTCCTCATCCCCATCTCACCACCCAGCTTTTCCATGGGGCACAGGGCAGGGGCATGCAGGAGCTGCCCAGGGCCTGCAGCAATTCGTGAATGGAGCCAGGGACTGACACGAAGATCCCCAAGGCCTGACCCAAGGCAGGACCCACCTGGGATGGCTGCTGCTGGCCATTGGGTTCTTCAGTGTCACATACGTGTCACCTGGTGCTTCAAGCACAGTCCCACCACAGAGCCACAGTCACCCACATGCTGCCTCAGTTTCCCCCACTGTAGAGCAGATGAACTGATGCCCTGGGAAAAGGTGTTTAATTTTTCCCCTACAAACCTCAGGTCTTTGCAGGAAAGGAAAGGGTCCAAGGGCTGCTGGGTCCCCCACCATGCCCACCCCATCCCTGCTGCCATCATCCTTCGAGCTCCTCATACTTCAAGGGTTGGGGAGAGCTGATCCCTTCTCTTCTCCCTTGCAGAGCTGATCCCTTCTCTTCTCCCTTGCAGGCACCACCTCCGAGCCCGAGCTGTTGCAAATCCCAGGTGAGATTCTTCTCTTAAAATCACTTTTCTCCAGGAAGTTTTGTAATTGAAACATGCATTTTTTTGGTTAAAAAAAAAAAGGGATTTGGGTATTTTGGGGTATATTGGTTTGGAATAAAAAGAAGCAAGAAGCTAAATTTGTTTTACAGAAAGGAAATAGAGTTTCTTTATTATCCCTATTCCGCTTATTATCCCGAGAGGGGAATTTTGCCACCTCCTGCTGAGTTCCTGTCCCTGTGCCATGCATCACACACAAGCAAATAATTCCCTTGATGTGGCAGGCCAGGAGCACTTCCATGCCTGCTCCCTGTCACCAGCAGCTTGAGGGATCATCTCCATCCCACCAACTCCCACGTGGGATCAGCTCTGGATCTGTTCATTGTGGCTCATAAGAGTTTGCTAATTGCACCTTGTCACTTGTCACCCATTGCATGTCTACACATGGTGCCTCACATCTGCTTTCCTCGTCTCCTGTTGGGTTATTGCCCTTTAGGAGGTGAAATGATGGCATGATCATAGAGGGGACCTTAAATCCCACCTTGTTCCAACCCCAATGTGACATGGGCAGGGACACCTTCCACCAAACCAAGTGGGTCAAAGCCCTGTCCAACCCAGCCTTGATGTTGGTGCATCTCACTCATGTATTGAGATACGTTGAGTCTCCATGTCCTCTGCTTCCAGCAGATTAAGGGAAGCCCAATGTCCCACCACCAAGCCCTGTGATACATATAAGGGTCACCATTTTATTTAAAGAGCAGGGATTTGGAACAGTTTTGCTCCCCCTGAGTGTTTGTCACCTCCTGGCCTGTTGCCTGCTGAGGGACCTCTCTCTGCCCGTCCTCCCAGAGATCCGTCTCTCCAACGGGCCCAGTCGGTGCCAGGGGCGGGTGGAGATCCTCTACAACGGCTCCTGGGGGACGGTCTGTGACGACGACTGGGACATCGTGGATGCCAACGTGGTGTGTCGCCAGCTGGGCTGCGGCCATGCCATCACCCTCCCGGCTGCCATGACCTTCGGCCAGGGGAGCGGGCCCATCTTCCTGGACAACGTGGACTGCAAGGGCTGGGAGGCAGCTCTGAGCGAGTGCTGGAGCCACGGCTGGGGCATCCACAACTGCTACCACTATGAGGACGTGGCTGTCGTGTGCAATGGTAGTGAGGTTGGGTTCTCTGGGGGCAAGGAGAGCAGGGGACTCCTGGGGGGCTGCAAGCCTTGGGGGGTGCAGATGCTTTGGTGGAGCCCAAGAGTCATATCCCAGTCTCTGTTCTTCTGATCCTGGGTCAGCCAAGCCTCCTCTGCATCCTCCCTCCACCTTTCTCCTCAATCCAGGTCACCTCCCAGCTCCACATGCTGGTGCTCCATAAGGTGACCAGCCTGTTTTGTGTTCCTTTTCACTCCCAGCTCAGGGAATTTGCGACCTCTCCAGCACAATCCTTGGGGAAAGAGCACATGCCCACCCACGTTCCCGCTCTGAGTCAGTCGCTGCCCCACTGTTCTTACCCCTTTTGACTTGTCTTTCTTTAAATTGCTGAGCTTTTCAGTAGGAAAATGTTCCTAAAGGTGAGAAAAGCAGTGGAAAGTGTTTGAACTTGGCAAGCAAAAGTGGAACAACTCCGTGCCGACCCCTAAGTACCCCACACACTTTCCTCCTGTGTAGCTACTCAGGGTTTGCTCATCAGCCAGGCATCAGTGAGCACTGAATGTGAGGCTGTGCAGACCCAGAGCAGCTGCTCAGTGAATCCCTGTGTCCTCCAGAAGCAGGGCTTGGAAAAGGAAGGATGGAAAGGCAGAGATGATGGGTTGGCTGGTGGGTTGGACCAGAGAACAGAGGGTATGGATTGAGCAAGAAACTGAGTCAGGGCACTGCTGGAGAGGAGAGGTGGAAGGGGTGAAGAAGAAGGTAGGGGAGGTGGGTCTGAGGGCAGAGAAGTGGCTTGAGCCCTTGGCAGAGAGCTCTGGGCAGGGCAGTGCAGCTGCAAACCCTCTTTATTTCCCTGTTGGGGCTAGTTTGGTGCAAACCCTCCTGGAGCAGCGGGGTGGAAGGGATCCCTCCAGCTTCATGGTGGAGCAGCAGCAGGTGCCACCTCTCTGCTTTCCTTTGCAGAGTTCTCACCCACGCAAGCCAGCGAAGGACCGACCACCAGGACCCTCACAGCCCTGGTACAGGATGGGGAAAGTAAGCTGCTCGAGTGCTGCTTTCAGGGGGGACATCCTGGCTGAGGGCAGTGTCCCCCACCATCACCTGCTGCTCCTCTTGAGCCCCCCAACTCTCCAGCTCTGAGGGGCAGATCCCCGGGGACCTATCATTGTAGTGGCCATGGCCAAACCCTATCCCAGAGCTTTCCAAGGCTCCAAAGCCATGTTGCCCTAAAGCACCACCTTTCCCCACTCTTTCTCACTTGGTTTCTTTGCCATCACGGGCACTGCCAGGTCCAGGCTTGGTGGCATCGCTGTGCCGTGTGCAGGGACACAACATCTTTCTCACCACGTGCTGCCACCCTCCAGGTGACGGCAGCATCCGTCTGGTGAGCGGGCCCGACACCTGCCAGGGCCGGGTGGAGATCTTCTACCGCGGGAACTGGGGCACCGTCTGCGACGACGACTGGGGCCTGAGTGACGCCAGCGTGGTCTGCAAGCAGCTGGGCTGTGGGCAGGCCCTGGATTACAAGAGCAATGCCTACTTTGGCTATGGGACAGGGCGCATCCTCCTGGACAATGTCAACTGTGATGGCAGCGAGCCCTTCCTCTCCGCCTGCTACAGCCTCGGCTGGGGCATCCACAACTGTGGCCACCACGAGGATGCCGGGGTCATCTGTGCAGGTACCAGGGCAGGGAAAAACCCAGGGACTTCCCAGTCTCTGAGGAGAAATGGCCTCAGAGAGATGCTGAGGTGCCCAGGGTTGGCCAGGGACCAGTCTTTGGTGCTGTAGGAACATCCTTGCTCCTTATCCGCCGTCACCCTGGTGGTCTGGAGCAGGATGCAACACTGCACAGAGAGACTGGGACACAACTGGAGTGGTGATTTGCAGGGGAAATGCATCTGCCATCCTGCCATTTCCCTCTGCCACTTCCCTGCTTTGCTGGCTGGAAAACAAGCTGCCCAAGTCCGGAATGAGTAAGCGGCTGCCAGGGGCTGGGCACAATGCCAGGCCCAGCCTGCCTCCCCTTCCCCTCCTGAAATGATGCATTTCTGCCATTCTCCGCTGATTACTGTTTATAATGTTAATAATCCCCCTGAATTCCCTCATTATCGTGGCTAATGACGGGAGCAGTAAGTGCCAGTGCTTTCCCTTTCCCGCTATTAGGGGACAAAGAGGCTGATGCAGGAGAAAAGGGACAATTTTCTCAGGCTGGTCCTTTCCTCCCTAAACATCCCCATCCCCTCTGGCACCTCCCCTGGACAGTGAGCTGATGGCATCACCATGAACAGCCTCTGCTCAGAGGGGCAGGGGATAAGGCAGATTAAAAGGTAATGAATCCTGACGGTGAACCTCCCAGGTACATGGAGAAGGAAGGTCCCACGCGGGACCCCAGCACTTGGGCTGGGGTGGAGAAGCCCCATTTCCAGCACCTGAGCAGCAGGAATGTGCAGATGGATATGGTCCATCCTCATCCCCATTGCCCTGGAGCACCCAGACTCACAGAATCACAGAATCAACTAGGTTGGAAAAGACCTCTGAGGTCATCGAGTCCAACCACCCTGGGTTTGCCTCCCACGGTCAGGATGTTCACGGCTGTGCATCTTTCTTCCTACCATTTCACCTCTGTCCCTCTGTGTCACTGCAGGGCTGGACACATCCACCATCACATCATTCACCACCTCGGTGGCCCTGGGCTCCGAGGAGACACTCACAGCCACGGCCACAGGTAGGAGGTCAGCAGTCACCCAGCTGGGGTCTTGTTGGGGGGCATCATGCCCTCTGCGTCCTGCTGTGACCCAGCAGAGTCACCCTGGGGTCCTGCCACGTGTGGGTGACACTCGGGAGGTGACATTGCCCATGACAGAAGCTTGCCATGGGGCAGCTGGTCACCCCCCCCCATGCTTCTGGCTGTGTGGAGGCAGTGGGGAAGCCGTGGGCCCCAGCAACCGATCAAACAGGGGCAATGGGTGCTGGATCTGGACCCCCCAATGCCTGTGTGTCCCCATGCTTGTCCCAGCAGTGACAGACGGCGGGGACCAGCCCTCCCAGGCCACTGAGGTGGTCACCACCATGCTCCTGACTGTCGAGCAGGAAAGTAAGTGTGCAGCTGCTGCTAGTTCTGCCCGGGGCTCCCCGTTCCTGGGGGGGGTCACCCCCTATCCCCAGGGCTCACCCCACATCCACAGGGCTCACACGAAGTCCCTCAGCTGACATCCCCACACTTCACCCCATAGCCCAGAGGCTCACCACATGCCCACAGGGGTTTGCCCCACATCCCTGGGGAGGTTGCATCCATGTCCCTAGGGGTTTGCCCCACATCCCCAGAGTGTTGCTCTCATGTGCCCAAGTGTCACCCCATAACACAGGGGATGACCCCATGCTCTGAAGGTTTTGCCCCACATCCCTGGGGGGTTGCTCCCATGCCCCCAGGGGTCACCCCATAACCCATGGGCTCACCCCATGCCCACAGGGTTTTGCCCCACATCCCCGGGGGGGTTGCATCCATGTCCCTAGGGGTTTGCCCCACATCCTCAGGGGGTTGCTCCCACGTCCCTATGTGTCACCCCATAACCCAGACGCTCACCCCACGTTCCCTGGGGGCTCACCCCATACCCCTGGAGGGTCAGCAGGGGACACTGGACCCCCCTGTGGAGCCCTGGTCCCCCCCTGGCGTCGTGCCTGTGCCGGGGCTCCCACGCAGGTGGCGGCGTGCGGCTGGCGAACGGGAACGGGAGCTGCCGCGGGCGGGTGGAGGTGCGGCACCGCGGCACCTGGGGCACCGTCTGCGACGACGACTGGGACTTCCCCGACGCCCAGGTGGTGTGCCGGCAGCTGGGCTGCGGGGCCGCCCTCGCCGCCACCGTCCTCGGCTCCTTCGGCTACGGCAGCGGGCCCGTCCTGCTGGATAACGTGGGATGCGGCGGCGGCGAGGCTCGCCTGGCCGACTGCTTCCACCTGGGCTGGGGGCAGCACAACTGCGGCCACCACGAGGACGCCGGGGTCATTTGCCGAGGTGAGAGTCGGGGAGAGCCTGGGGGCCGCCAGCTGGGAGAAGGGGGGTCTCCAGTGAAGCTCAGCTCAGTGGAGCAGAAAACCAATGAGATAATGGGTGTAGGGAGGATTTTGGCTGTGCTCAGGGGGGCTGCGGGAAGTGGGGTCTCCAAAATGGGGTGGTGGGTGATTAATGAGCCCCTGGGATTCCTCCTGCCTGTGGAGGACAACAGCAGTGCTCGGTGCTGTGGTGCAGGTGATGGTTGGAATGTGAATACAACCTCTGGTCTCTGTTCGTGCACCTCCCTGGAAGTGCAGTGGCTGCACATTCCATCCCACACATCCCTGCATCAGTCCCCAGCTATCCCACGCTGCTGCTGGGGGGCTCTGACCTGACCCTGGGGGGCCTCCTGCCCATGGGGGACAGCAGTGGCAGTTGGTACCGTGGCTCACCACAGTGATGGCCGGAGTGTGTCTACCACCTCTGGTCTCCATTTGTGCACGTCCCTGGAAGTGCAGTGACTGCCCATCCCACCCCACACGACCCTGCATCCATCCCCAGCCATCCCACACCACTGCTGGGGGGTTCTGTCCTGGCCCTTGGGGGCACAGGTGTCCCCTGAGTCACTTTCCCACCCCTTCCCCACTGCACCAGGTGCTGATGACACTGGAGACCATTTCCAAGAAGCCACTGCTACGACCACCACGTTGGTCCCAACTCGTCCCAGGGAGGGTAGGTACTGAGGTGCCACCAGGGACCCGGTGCCAGCCCTGGGGATGCTCCACACTGGCACAGAGTGGAAACGGAGGTGGCTTGGGCAGTGGCACAGGCTTTGGCAGTGTCTGAAGCATCCACCTGGAGCAGGTCATAGGAGGGGGAAAAATTAGTGGCACCATTAAGTCATGGGCTCTCCTGGTGCCCCCAAGGCTGGTTCAGGCAGAGGTGACAGACCTCAGGTGATGGACCATTAAGTGTTGGATTTTGGATGGGAGAAGAGATGATGGACCTCAGGTGATGGACCATTGGGTGATGGACATTGGTGAGGAGGGGAGGTGATGGACCAAAGGGGCTGAGCCAGGAACAGAGAATTATTGTCTGTTCTTTCAACTTGAACATCCACCACAATGCTCTGGGGGTCACCCAGATACCGGCAGCTGGTCACCCCCCCGTGCTTCTGGCTGTGTGGAGGCAATGGGGGAGCTGTGGGCCCCAGCAAACATCTGCAGAGCCTTGGAAAGACCAGAGCTGTTCCAAGGCGGTGGAGAGGGGGGCGCAGCACTGGGATGGGCACGGGCAGGGGCTGCCTCACCCCGTGCCCTCCGCAGGGTCCCTGCGCCTGGTGAACGGCAGCCACCGGTGCGAGGGGCGCGTGGAGATGTTCTACCTGTCCCAGTGGGGGACGGTGTGCGACGACGCCTGGGACCTGCGGGACGCCAAGGTGGTGTGCAGGCAGGTGGGCTGCGGGCACGCCATGGCAGCCTGGGGGGAGGCCCGGTACGGCCAGGGCACGGGCTACATCTTCCTCGACAACCTCAAGTGCAAGGGCCACGAGCCCTCGCTGCTGCGCTGCTCCCACATCCGCTGGGACGTCCACAACTGCGACCACTCCGAGGATGCCGGTGCTGTCTGTGACATCCTATGACCGCCCGCCCCGCCGGGACCCCCCCGCAGGTAAGACAGGGACAGGGGTGCTGGTGGTGATGCCCACAAAGAGGGGCTGAACCCTGACACCCACTCTCTGCCCCAGTTTCCCCACTCACCCCACGAGGGCACAGGTTGAGCCCGCTGTGGGTGTTTGGGCTCTGAGGATGGGAAGAGCTGGGTGAGGACTGGGCTCTCCTCAGCTCCTGAAATACTGGCTGAAGGTTTTCCCCCCCAGACCACCCCCTGAAAAAACAGAACTGCTTTTGGTGTGAAATATGGTTGGTTTCAGCCATTTCTTTTAAGAGAGGAGGAGAGAAAAATGGACTTTCTGCTGTGAAAATGACGTTAGATTATACTCAGAAAATGTAAAAAGGGGGCTGGAATCCCACCAGGATGTTCCAGTGGCTCTGCAGCGAGTTGCTGCTGTTCTGCAATTTGCTTTGAAAACCCCTCAGAAATCCCAATACCAGCTTTTTCTTCCCATTTTGGTATCAGAAATACCAATCCCTCCCTCATTTCCATGCAGCAGAAATGCAGGCATTGGATCTCACGCCATCTGCAATCCTCATGCCCATTTCCCCTGTTTCTTCTGCAAACTCTGTGGGGTTTTAGGAGAGCTCAACTGAGATTTCCCTTCTGGGGGGGCTTCAGCACAGCCTGTGTACCTGCCCAAAAAATCCCTTGGGGAGTGGGAAAGGCTCCTTGCAGCCTCACCATCCTTCTCCATCCTGTGCTATCCAGACATGCTGGCTTTGACTGCTCTGTCCCATAAGCTCCATAATGCTCTGAGGTGCCCAGGGCAGGCAGGGAGCTGGCAGACAGGACACAAGCAGATGGAAAACCATAGGGGGGGTCCCAAATCCCTTCCCAGAGCAAGGAAAGGGACCCAGGAGCCTGGTCTCTTCCCAGTGCCGTGCCTTTGGGGTAAAGGCTGTTTCCCTCCCAGCTCAGGTGGAAGGATCCATCCTGCAGCACCAGTTGCCTTCACCACCAAGTGTTTGATTCCTAATGGGACACCAGGAAAATGATCTCTGTTTTCTCATGGATGGGGTGTAAGGGTGAGGAAGGGCTCGTGCAGCAGCACAGAGCAGGTCCCAGCTGCTCCCTCTGCTGCACTCACTCCTCTGTTTGTACAATCCTTTTGTTAATAATAGACTGTGCATATTCCTGGGTTGGGTTTTTTGGTTTTCCCATTTTTCCTTATATGTGTTTGGGTTTGTTTTGTGAATAAATAAAAGCCCTTTGGAAGTGCTCTGAGACCTGACTTGTCTCCCTGTCACCCCCTCAAAGACCCGGGCAGGAGTAAACACCTGGGAAAGAGGCAATGTCCCAAACCTGGAGGAGAAGGCTCAGCTCTTGCTGCCAAAAATTGGTGCAAATCCCTTGATTCCCACCCAGCTGAGAGCCCAGATCAGAGCCCTCCCCACCTCAGTTCTGGGGGTACAGCCCTGAGCCGCACCAGGCTCAGGGTTGGTTCCAGCTGCGGGTTTGTTCCCGGTGGATTTGGCAGTCATGTGGGGTGGCTGTGGGGTGGCCCTGGCCCTGTGCTAAGGCTGATATTGGCTGCCTCTCCTCCACTTCCTGGGGGCAGAGCTTTTCCAGCACTTTGCCCCCAGGCCAGATTTCCATCACAGAGGGGATGGAAGGGAAACTGAGGCAGGGAAACATCTTCCAGGCAGGCTGTGGCAGTGCAGCTCGACTTGGGCTTGCTGGGGCCCTGGGGAAGGGCAGGGAGGTGGTATGTGAATAAAACCTCTCCTTTCCCAGGTCCTGCATGCTCCGCTGCCCACCCTGCTGCCCCCTCACCCCCCTCCTTGCCTCCAGGACAGCTGGGCAATGCCTGGGGTCCTGCTGGGAGCAGGAGGGGGACAGAGCAGTCCCCGGCACTCCCCAGGCCCCCCTGCAGCCCACACCAGCTGGGGATGGGTCAGAGGGTGCTGTGGGCTCCACCAGCTTTGCTGACCCCTCCCCATGGCTATGGGAGGTGGGGAGGGATCTCGTGGCCAGGAGCTGCTCTGGAGGCTGCTGCCTCTTGGGGTGTTGCAGGGAGGAAGGTGAGTAAGGCTGGATGGGTTTTCCCTGTTTTCCTTGAGGGCTGTGCCTTGAGCCAGCAAAGCCAGGCTGGGTTTTGGTGTCACCCAACACCCTGCTGTTCTTGGCTTTGGGCTGGGAAAGCAGGTCCTGCTCTCCTGGAGCTTCTCCCTTCCACAACCTGCAATCCAGCAAACAAAGGGTTTCCAGCCAGGAGAGACAGCAGCCGCCTCCCTTGTCTTCCAGCCTTTTCTCCCGCAGCCAGCTTGGAATGGGCTGGGATCCACAGGGATCCCCCTAGACACTGCACAGCCAAGCTGGACATCATCTCCATGGGAGCAGGGAGTGACAGGCAGGGTGGGAGCAAGGAACCAGCACAGGGAATGCTCTGGAGCAGGGTATCAGCATGGAATGCTCTGGAGCAGGGTACCAGCACGGGGAATGCTCTGGAGCAGGCTACCAGCATGGGGGATGCCGGTGGTGAGAGAGCATCCTGCCTTGGGACCACAGCCAGGCTGCAGCAGCTGCATGGGAGCCGGGATAAGCCGAGGTTCCTGCCCAGCTCTTATCCTCTTGCCGACATCAGCTGTTTCCCGGTGCCCAGAGCAGCTGCAGCTCCTCACTGGTCGATCCCATTGATTAGCTCCTCTCCCCATCCCCGGAGAGGGGATGGTGTGGGGGTAGCAGGGAGGAGAGAATAAATAATTCAGCAGGCCCAGGCAAAAGCTGGGGTTATTTTGGGGCTGGGATTTATGGACTATTAGGAATAAGGAATGAGTCTGTGCTGGGGAGAGGAGACCCATTAATCCAGGCTGAAGGAGCACAAATGAGCAAGGGGAAATGGAGGAGGCTTTAATTACTTTGCCATGTTCTTGAGTAATAAGCCAACCTCTGGCTGAGTGCTGGTGTGGGGCTCAGGAGTTCTGGTCCCCAGAAACTGGGGCAGACATTGCTGTGCCTGGCTGTGCTGGGAGGGATGGGGATCCTCTTCTGGGACCAGTGTGAGACCAGTACAAGCCAGTGTTTCTGGCTGGGAAGTGGTATGGAGGATGCCCTGCTGGGAGAGGGTGCAGACTGCAGGGATGGCTGGAGGGGCCTGGGTGTGGGTGCCTGGTCCCAGGGGTGCCCTCTCAGGACTGGGCCAGTACTGTCACCCACTGTGCCCTGTTAAGGCAATCCCATCTGTGCCTGTAACCGGAGGAGCTGGGCACTGTCCTGTGCAGGGTGAGTCAGTGCCCGAGGCAGCCCTGGCCCGGGGAGCATCCCTGGCTCTGCTGTGTCCAGCAGTACCTGGGTGACCTTGAGCTCTGCTCTGTTTCCCTGCTCACTGTGCCCCCCCTGCTCTCCCTGCTGCCTCTGCATCCCCCCGTGTCCCTCAGTTTCCCTGGAGGGGCATCGGGAGGGTGGCCCTGGCTCACCCCTTGGCACCCCTGGGCAGCTGCAGGCATCCAGCTGCCCTGGCTGAGGGGGCATTCCTTACCATATGGGGGCACCGAGGGGCAGATCTGCCCCTCTGGACAGGCTGCCCCACCCCCTGCGGTCAGAGGTCCTGGGGATGTGGGCACCCACGTGGCAGGGATGCAGGGCAGGGACATCCTTGGACCACCTCCTCCAAAGGGGTGGATGAGGACTCCCCGCAGCATCTCTGCGGCACTGCAAGTCTCTCTCCCTTGGGATCACGGCCCATGGTGCCAAGGTCACCCATCGGGACCGCGGTGGGGTGCAGGAGCTGCTCACCACACCCCACACCCGGCAGCGTCCTCCTTCCCTGCTCCTGCCGGGCCTGCCGCCGCGGCTCCCGCTGACGTCACCCGCCGGAGCCAGGAGCTATTTTGGGAACTGCAAAGTCACTGGCGCAATTAGTCGGCTGGCAAAGGCAGCGGGGCGGCGGGGGGACCGCGGGGACGGCTGCTCCCCACGCCGTGCCGTGCCGTGCCGAGCCGTGCCGGGGGATGCGTGCCCATGGCCCACGGGCACCGGCAGGTTCCTTGTGCCTGCAGAATCCAGGGCTCCCTCCACCAGAACAAACGGCCACGGCTGCAAATCCTCCCATCCATCATCTCCTCCTCTCTCCCTGCCTTTTCTTTTTTTTATATATATTTAATTTTACTTCTCTCCCCTGGCAGGAGCCACCCCACGTGGGCTGCTGAAATGCTGGCGAAAGCCAACTCGCTGCCGCCTCGCTGCCACCGCTCCCGTTTGGAGGGAGAGACAGGAGAGCAATTTGCTGGCAGCGCTGCTTCCCGTAGCAATGCCGCGGGTGAGGGGCTGCCCTGCGGGGGTCTGGCCATGCCCCGGGTGCTCCGTGCCAGCTGGGCTCTTGGTTTAATCCAATCTGCATCCTCCTGGATGCAGCAGGATGGGTGCTCCGGCTACACAACCCCAAATGCCCTGTTGTCTGCCATCCTGGGGATGGGGATGTGGTTGGGCTGTCCCCGGGGCACAGCACAGACAGTGGGGTCCTGCCCTGCAAGCGCCCTTGAGCCTGGGGATGTGGGGGTGGTTAGAGGGGACAATTGGGGTGCTCAGCCACCCTCCTCAGTGCTGCTTGCTTTCTCTGCCCACCCTCCTCACCTCCCGATAACCCCCAGGGCGTGGCCAGGGGGGATGTGCACAGAAATACTGGGAGAAGCTGATCCTGGCAGGCTTAAACACCCCAAAGTGGGGCTCAAAAAATCCTTTTAAAAATCCCCAGACTTTTCTATGTGACTCGGCATCTCTTTCACTCCAATCCCCCCAGGAAAAAACACCCCAAATCCTTTCTCCCAATGCCTGGAGAGGTGCCACAGCAGGAGTTGGTGCTATGCTCCCCAGATCCCGAGCTGGAGCTTTGGGCACGGAGACCCACAGGGCCAGATCCAGCCGGATCCATGGCCATAGTGGAGGTGATGGGTGCTGGCAGAGTGACACCCAGCCCACTCCACATTGCTCAGAGCCCCAGCTTGCCCCTGGAGGAGGGGGCCCTGG